CTGCGGTCTTAGCCCAAAGGGTGTTATCCAGAATTGTGTCCGGTAGTTGTTTCCTCTCCTCTTCAGATACCGGTATGGTACTGGCCGGTAACTCATACGAGAGCCAACTTGAATCCATCATGTCCGGCACGTCAGAGGGTTTCTCAAGAATCCTATATATGACGCCATGTGAATCGGGCTCTTGAATGGGGGAGGGACCTCTTTAACGATGACAGTGGCCTCTTGAACGGTGGGAGGGGACTCTCGAGGAATGATAGGGGCCTCTTCAACGATAGGAGTGGACTCTTGAGGGATGATAGGCGAGTCGGGCTTCTTCTTGCGGTGTCTTCGCACTATTGGGGTATACGGATACTTAATAGCACGTGCACGCCGTCTGATGCGTGAACTCTGTCGTGCAAGAAAAACCCGACGTAAAGCATCCACCTTATCGGTCCGCTAATAAAAATACAAATATCAGTAAATAAACAGACATGATATTTAAACAGTGAAACAAAGATAAATATATTTCAAACTTTCAACCAAAAGACAAAACAAAGACAAATACTAACTTCACAGTGTTAAAGTAAAAGTTTAGCAGTTTTGGCAGCAACCGAATAAATTTACTAAGCAATCTAAGTGAAATGGTTAATTTAAGTGAAATTACGAGTAAATTTATCATCAAGTTAAATATGGAAAATCTTAAACTTACCTCGTTGCGTAGAGTATGAACCTCATTCTGCAACGATACTACCATCTCACGTAGAGCGGTAACCTCACCACGTAAAGTAGACACCTCCACACGCCATGCACCATCGTTATCGCGTAGAGTACCGATCTCCTCACGCAAGGCATTGACCTCATCACGTAACTCCCTTGACTCATCCCGTGGAGGTGGAGAACAGGGAGATAGAAGTCGTGGCATCTTTGTCGGTTGCCTATCATGAGGTGATGGGGAGAAGAGACTCGATGATGTGACGGGATAGGTGATGGCTCTCGTTGTAGAGGTGTATAGTCGGGTCGATCAGGTGATGGCTCTGGGTGAGGTGATGGCTCTCGAAGTGGAGGAAGTGGAGGATGGTCATCATTCGTGCCATCAAAAAAACGCTGACTAGCTTGCTACCAATCAGTGGCAAGCTCAACCTCCGTGGGTGTCAGTCTCATTAATGGAGTGTTGGCCTCCTAAAAATATAAAAACTAAACAAAGTTAAACGTCTACTATTAATAACTTGTTTATATGATAGTATTTGTGTTAACTTACATTATTTATTGTCGCATATGGTATTAAGTCTCCCAATCCAACATACGTTTCCTCTTCCAGGAAATAGCCCTAGGAATATCATCTGAGGATTTTAATGCATATGTCCGCATGCTGGGGAAAGCCTCGAATATCCAAATCTACAAACAATAAATAACAAACATTAGTAATTGTTAAATAATTAATTATAATTTTGAAAACATTATATAGAAATTCTTACCTTAAAGGCCCAAACAAAGCCTGACAAAGTGTATTTCGACCCATCGCCCCGCAAACTTTTGCGGTCATCAAAGGCAGACGACAACTTAGTCCAGGTAGCTTTCCATATATACGAACCCCACGGAAACAGATTCCATGCATTTAGGTCATCTACCAATAATATTAGCTCCTGAGGAATAGGTTGTCTGGCCTCTCTGCCTAGAAAGTCGGCATACAAAAGTAGTAGAAGGCATACTCGGCAACATCGACGTCATTCATCCGAGTAAAACCATCTTTCTTATTAAACAATTTCTTCATGTCGTCGACGTGTAAGTTCGGCTTCTCTATTGACTCATCAGGAAAAACCCTGGATAACCATGATGGGCGGGTGATATGACGAGTGTACCGGCCTACATCATCGTGTCCGAATCGTAGACCAGTGATTAAGCAGAACTCCTTCCGCCCAAAACAAGTATACGCCGGTGGAAAATGAAACCATATCTCTTCCTCACCACGTTGTATACTGTCGGGTAGATCGCTAGTCATGGTCTGAAGCCACAAATGGGTCAAACTAGCATCTCCACCCGGATGCTGTACTCTCAGCCATGGCCCGAAGCAGGTCTCTTCAAACAATTTTCTTTGTGCAGGTGAAAGCTTCGAAGCAATTGTAGTGGCTAGGCTAACTTTATTCCTTAATGTCAATGAAGCCGAAAAAAATTTCTACAAAAAAACAATAAACATACCAAGTTAGATATACCAAAATTACACTGTCAAGATATACCAAAAACAAAACAATAAACATAATAGTAGTTTATTCTTGAAACTAAAATTTGCAACACTGTTTTTGTCTTTTGGTTGAAATGAAAATCGCAACGAGATAATGAGAATCGCAACGCGGAAATGACTATCGCAACGAGAGAATCGCAACGCGAAATGACTATCGCGACCAGACAATCGCAACGCGAAATGAAAATCGCAACCGCGAAATAAAATCGCAACGCGAAATGAAAATCGCAACGCGAAATGAAAATCGCAATGCGATTTTGGTTTCGCGTTGCGATTTTTATTTCGCGTTGCGATTATCTCGTTGCGATAGTTATTTCCGCGTTGCGATTTTCATTCTCGAAACTATTCTTCTTCTGCATTACTTCAACCAAAAGACAAAGCAAAGACAAATACTAACTTCACAGGCTAAACAGTTTAGCAGTATTGGCAGCAATCGAATGAATTTAATAAGAAATCTAAGTGAAATGGTTAATCTATTATTGAAATTACCAGTAAACTTATCATCAATCTCAATATGAAAAACCTAAAATAATGCAAAAATTTCAAAATAAAAAATAAAAAAAACTAACCCTCGGAGGTTGATTTCCATTTCTGAATGATTGTGAGGGATTTTTGACTGTGAATGGTTGTGAGGGATTTCGCCGGCGATGGGGACGGAAATCTTCGGAGATGGGTACGGATTTCGCCGTAGAGAGTGAGAGATGGAGATGGGACTGAGTGTTGTGTTTTTGGGTTTGAGGTTATGAGTTGCGATTACTGTGGACGGTTCATTTTCCGATTTATTAAGAAAAAATACGTGTTTGGAATTTGAAAAAAAAATACGCGTTAATACGAATGGCGCTATGTAAATCGCGTTGCGAAAGTCAGTATCGCGTTGCGAAAGTAAGTATCTCGTTGCGATTTTTTATTATCGCATTGCGATAGTAAGTATCGCATTGCGATTTTCCCAATTCGCGTTGCGATTTACTTATTCGCATTGCGATTTTCCCAATTCGCGTTGCGATTTACTTATTCGCATTGCGAATTGGGAAAATCGCAACGATACTGTAGACCATCGCAACGCGATTTTCAACTATCGCATTGCGAAAATGCAACGCGAATTTGCGATAATAGAGATCGCGTTGCGAATTAGCGATCGCATTGCGATTTTGTTGGTCATTTTGGCAAATCCGGAAAAAGTTGGTTAAAATCGTATATTATATGGGATTTTTGGTCACTGAGGTTATTTTCTCTTTTATTTATCTCAAACCGTTAATTATATTAGAAATATCAAGGGTAAATTACATATTTAGTCACTTAATTATTTCTATAATTCTACTTTAATCACTCAATTATTATTTTTTCAAAATCATCACTAAAATAATAAACTCATGGTTTTGAAATGCACTATGCTGTGCTTGCAGTAGCATGGAACCATCCACACATGAATTTCTTGTTCAGTGAGTGAAGGGTGTTCAAAGAAGGCGTCACCTTTATTAATGTTGTTATTAGCATTTCAATTGTTTTTCCTAGATCCTTTATAAAGAAGAAAGATTGGATATTTGACTCCCTTTCAACGAACTCATTTCTCGAATGCTTTTTATGCTTCATTTTCTCACTGAGATGCAATCTGTCAACTGGATTTTTATGATGTTTGATTCATTGCATATATATGTATGGAATCTCTTCTTGGTGTCTTTTAGCAATGCATCTTTGGTTGGTTTTGATGTACAGGGCTGCAAAACAACTCACTGGAATCGAGCAAAACCCAACAAAGTTCACACCTTCAAACACAAGATTTCAGTGAGGCAGCTCGAGTATACGCAGAAGGTTCCGCACAAATGAGATCACTTCAACTCCTCCCATTAATGTTGCCTATGCGTCCACTCCGGTGATGGAGGAAGATGAGGCGATACATGGTGACTTCTACCTTGTGCAAAGTCATACTTTGATTGTCAAGAATATAGACATCTTAGCAAATTTTTGGAGACCAACATCTGGAAACGACGTCGTTTCCATCATGGTCGTGATCCTCTTCTTCAACCCATGGCTATCCTTTGAACAACGGGAACCTTCTTAAAGGTGTCTTTTTCAGCTTCTAAAGGGACTTTCCGATCGGTTTCTTGGTCGAGCACTAGACTGATGGGGAGCAATTAGCACTTCGTGGAGGGAGAGAAAGGAAAAGACGAGTTTTGAAGGGATGCAGTGATTTGAAGGAGGTTTTTTTGGGGTTTAGAGGAGTGAAAAGGAGAGAAAATTTGAGTTTTGGTGAAGAAGATGAAGGGGAGAAGAGTTGCATATTTTTTCAGGTTTTTTTTTCACTTGTATTTGGTTTAGTTTGATAAAACTACCTAATTTTTTTTTATGGAGAAATGTTGGGCAGCTAATGGGGAAGAAGAGTTGCTAATCACTATTTTGCTCATTTTACATTTTCAGTGATGATTTTAAAAAATAATTTGGAGAATAAAATAGAATAAGTTGAGTGACTGAATATATAATTTGTCTTTGTTATTTTTATCGGAGTTAATATTTTGAGATAAATAAAATAACAATTTAAACTTAAAAAATTAAAATATACTTTAGAACAAATAACATACTTTTTTTTGAATTAAATAAAAAAAAAGCATTAAAACTAATTAGTCCTATCTTGCATCGATAAGCCTTGGGACTCTTCTTAAAGTAAATAAACTACAGTCAACGGTGAAGTCTGGTAAATATGCAGTTCGAAAGGTAAGGATCAAACTAGCCGTGCCATGCTACCCACCAGTCTATTCCTTTCCCGAGGAATAGTTAAGCCTTCCAATTTTAGCATTCTTTTACTATGACGTCACGTTTTGAATTGCGGATCGATTATCTAAACTGATTCCGTAGTTTTTTTTATCAGGAAACAAACACTATTTATTCTTCTGCCATTGCCACCGTGTTCTGTAACTCTACTCACAGTAAATAGTAAGGAAACTCTAGATGAATTCATCAAATCAAACCTCGGATGATTCCTCTGAGTTCCCTATTCCCCACGTTAGTCTCTTTCCACCTTTACCGAATCCTATCCCTAACACCAATTTCCATCCTATCCCTAACCCGAATGTCTCTCTTCCTCCCGATGATCACATCCACTCCCTCCCAGTCCCCCAAAAACGACGACGCGGCCGGCCTCAACGGAATGCCCCGACGACATCGTCCTTTCAGCTCCTTAACTCTCCCAATGGCTCCTTCAATCTCAATCTCTCAGTCTCTAACCCAAACCTTAATCATAATTCGATGTCCTCATCATCAGCGGCGACGACACAGACTACACAGCCCAAAATTGACGATGAGATCATCGTGATCAATAAGGAATCAACGGCAGAGGCTCTTACCGCTCTTTCTGCTGGATTCCCTGCCGATTATCTCACCGAGGAAGAAATTGATTTCGGCGTCGTTTCCTCTGTTGGCGGCATCGAGCAGGTAAATTATATTCTCATTCGAAACCACATTATTGCAAAATGGCGCGAAAACGTATCGAATTGGGTGACTAGAGACATGTTTGTTGATTCTATACCCAAACATTGTAGCACGATTTTAGATTCTGCTTATAATTATTTAGTTGCATATGGATATATAAATTTTGGGGTTGCCTCGGCAATTAAGGAGAAAATTCCAGCGGAACCTAGTAGAAGTAAAGTGATTATTATTGGTGCTGGGTTAGCAGGGCTGACTGCGGCTAGACAGTTAATGGGGTTCGGGTTTAAGGTGACGGTTTTGGAAGGGAGAAAGAGAGCCGGTGGGAGGGTTTATACGAAGAAGATGGAGGGAGGGAATAGGGTGAGTGCAGCTGCGGATTTAGGTGGGAGTATGTTAACTGGTACCTTGGGGAATCCGTTAGGGATTGTGGCGAAACAATTGGTGCTTCTCTTTTTAAGGTGAGGGACAAGTGTCCACTTTATCGGATGGATGGGAGTCCGGTAGATCGGGATATGGATTTTAAGGTGGAGAAGGCTTTCAATAGGCTTTTGGATAAGGCTAGTAAGCTTAGGAAGTTAATGGGGGAGGTTTCGATGGATGTTTCACTTGGAGCTGCATTAGAGACGTTTAGAGAGGTGTACGGGGATGCAGTGACTGAAGAGGAGATTAGTTTGTTCAATTGGCATCTTGCAAATTTAGAATATGCGAATGCTGGATTGGTTTCTAAGCTTTCACTTGCATTTTGGGACCAAGATGATCCATATGACATGGGAGGGGATCATTGCTTCTTGCCAGGAGGAAATGGGAGGTTGGTTCAGGCTCTGGCCGAGAATGTGCCTATTTTGTACGAGAAAACTGTGCATACTATCAGGTATGGCAGTGACGGAGTGCAGGTTATGGCAGGAGCTCAGGTGTATGAAGGTGATATGGCATTATGTACAGTGCCTCTCGGAGTTTTAAAGAGTGGGTCGATCAAGTTTGCTCCAGAGTTGCCTCAGAGGAAGCTTGATGCCATAAAGAGGTTGGGGTTTGGGTTGTTGAATAAGGTTGGAATGCTTTTTCCCCATGTATTTTGGGGTACAGATCTTGATACGTTTGGGTATCTTACTAAAGATCCAAGCCATCGAGGAGAGTTTTTTCTGTTTTATAGCTATGCAACAGTTGCTAGTGGTCCTCTATTGCTCGCTTTAGTAGCAGGAGAAGCTGCACATAGGTTTGAAACTCAGCCTCCTATAGATGCAGTGGCACAGGTTCTCCAAATTCTCAAGGGTAATTAATCCGATTTAATGTGTTGACATTGCTTTATTTATTCAGCATTATTTTGAATCTATGATTGAAACTGAAATAAAAAAATTTATCTGCGGAAAGATATTTAATGTTATGATGTGGTTTCTCATTGATGTCACTATTAAGAGAGGGCTAACATTATGATACATATTTTTTTAAATCTTCTTTGTATATTGCTTGCTCAGTGCTCATTTTATTCAACAGCCTTGGATATTAAATAAAAGTAGGTATTTTCTTATTGTCTCGTGTGCATATTATTTAAAGAAAGAGTGTCATTTGTAAGTGAATCATTAATATAGAGAATTTTTGGTGATTTTAACTTGTTTCAATTTTGGTTGTATACAATGATGCACATCTTATAGCCAAAAATTTAATTGTTTTGGTTACGCATTGTGTATGTTTGCATGCAGGTATATATGAACCACAAGGCATCACCGTCCCTGAGCCCCTCCAAACTGTCTGTACCAGATGGGGTGGTGATCCCTTCAGCCTAGGTTCGTACTCTAATGTTGCAGTGGGAGCATCTGGAGATGACTATGATATATTAGCAGAAAGTGTTGGGGATGGAAGACTTTTCTTTGCAGGGGAGGCCACTACAAGGCGATACCCTGCCACCATGCATGGAGCTTTTCTTACTGGACTCCGGGAAGCTGCAAATATGGCTCAATATGTGAATTCTCGTACTGCTAAGAAAAAGATTGACAGGAGTCCATCGAATACTGCTCATTCTTGTGCTTCCATCCTTACGGATTTGTTCAGAGAACCTGATCTGGAATTTGGTAGTTTTTCTGTAATTTTTGGTCGAAAGAATGCTGATCCAAAGTCACCAGCTATTCTGAGGGTGACAATTAGTGAGCTCCGAAAGAAGAATCAGGAAAGCTCAATGACAGATCAGCAACATTCGAATAAGGTGCTTTTTCAGCAGCTCCAATCACATTTTAATCAACAACAATTACATGTTTATACATTGTTATCAAAGAAACAAGCACTTGATCTAAGAGAAGTGAGAGGTGGTGATGAGATGAGGCTGAACTATCTGTGTGAAAAGCTGCGAATTAAGCTGGTGGGACGGAAGGGTTTGGGACCTACTGTCAATTCCGTCATTGCTTCTATTAAAGCACAAAGGGGTCTTCGGAAACCTTCTTCAAGTCCTTTGGCTCTAAAATCAGGTGAGATTCATTGGATATTCCTTTATTTTTATCCCAAAATATGAAATTTACTCATGAAATAACATTTCTATGGTTTCTTAAAGGGGCATCAATGCTGAAAACTGGCAATTTTAAGCACAAGTTCATTAGGTAAGAATTAAGAGGCAAACCTTTTAATGTTGTTTTTCTTATGTATGTTGAAGATCTCCTTATGGTTAACTGAGGGATGTTACCTGATCCTTATTCCCCTATTTTTTCATTATTTTCACAGAAAGGCTAAAATAGTACGCAAAACTAAAGGGATGCCTCCTCCAATTGTGAATGCGGTAAATGGCGATCCGTCAGAGGAAATAAAAATGACAAAGCAGGCTCCTCTTGACTCTTCTAGTTCAGGTATGTCTGAAGTTTTCCAGTTTCCTTCTATTGCTTCATTTCTTTTGGTGCAGTTCCATGGCATGCAATTAATTGTTACAGTTTGGTTTTCTGATCTTTTATGTTCTATGCCTATATTAGTATCAACTGTTTTTCTGTGACAGTTGCAATTCAGTGTCAAGTATCTTAATTGTTCTAGTATAGTCGTTGTTCTGTTTTTCCCTAGTTCATTTAAGTTGCGTTTAAAAACTTAGATTTCAAATTTGGATTTGGATTTCAATATAAGTGTAAATTTTGTAATAAAACACATATAAATGTAGCGCATCATAATTTTTCAATTTCATGAATTTGTTGGATGCCTATTTAGTATTGAATTTGAAATACCTATAAATACTTGTGAATTTGAAATTCATGCTTTATACCTTGAAAAAAATGCAAGTACATTGAATCATATAATTTATATATTTTCAAACTTTCCAAACTTAGCATTAGAGTTTTTCTCCTTATAAAAAAACATGGGGAACTTTTGCTATTGGCTATTGTTTGTTCTTGATTTTAAGTGAGTTGTGATGGAAAAACCAAGATAATAAATTCTACCTAAATTTACTTATATCTGTCGTTGTGAAATGGTGTTAATATTTTTTTTAAATGGGAAATCTGAGTATAGAAAAAGTCCTTGTAATAGGGCAAAACCAAGGTGAGATGTTTAAGCAATGAACTGGAAATGTGTGTATTTTTTATGGATCCTGAAGATCAGAGTTTCATAGTTCAGTGACATTGCCTAAGCCATAATATTCTGCAAACCCCCTTTCTTCAATTCTTGGAGCTTGTACCTGAGACTTAAAAATGTTGCCATACAAGCTGGAATCTAATGTGTTCTATATCCTTATGTTACTTGGATTCGGGTGTGAGTATCGGATACAGGTATGCAACCTATATGGGTATGTTTTGTTTTTGTTTTTTAAATTCACGTATTTAGAGGATACTAGGAGAGTCATATTCTTTTACTTGTGTCCGTAAATAAAATGTCGGAGAAAAATAGCATTTCCCAAAGTTAGGAAACTGTAATTTTTGTTAATCTATTTGCTCAATCACTGCCACCATAAAGTTGTCGTGCCACGGTTGGCCTGTTTTCTGAAAGTTTAGAAATGCTATACATTTAGCAAGAACCAGATGTTGGTAATGGTTTCGGGATGCATTCATTGATAATACCCTGTTTAAGTGCCCCTGCTACTTGCTGCTGCATCTAAATCCTTTTAGAGTCAGCAATTCTGAATATAGGGATCAAAGTTCGCCCAAGGCAAACTGTTTTACAGTCGTAAAGCCTGCCGTGATCAAATGTGATGGAGGAAATTGTTCTTTCCGTGACTAAGGCTTTCTGGTTTGATATTTGAGAAGCAGAACACGTACTGATTCTTGTACAGGATTCACGGACATCTCGCCTTATCCGACGAAGTGAACAGCTACCTATGCAACTGAGATGATGATCGAGTCGAGGCTGTCGATGAGAGCAGCTTGGTCGAGGTGTGGTAATGTTATTGGTGGAGCCTTGAAGACCCATATTCACAGCAATTTTGTACATCAGAAAGTATGGGAAGTTGAGGCAAATAGCGTGTTGCGGATACATTTTTTGAGAATTTCCTATCCAGAGCAGGAATTATTGATATGCTTTGAATAAGGAATATATTTCATGATTTCTGGAAATCTTGTATTGTTTTATTGCATTTCCTTTTTATTTTAATGCATGAACGAGATTGTAGGCATGTCTAGTAATGGTTCATGGACCGAACGGGTCAAGTTTTTGCCTGTTTTGTAGTTCTCCAAAAATTTAAGCTAATTTGAAGTTATTTTTCAAAAGTATTTTTCTACCTATTTTTTAAAAAACAATTTCAAACCGTTCTAAATAAAAAAAAGAAAAATATTTTTTATTATTGAAATAGTATTTTGAATTGAATTCAACCATTTTTATGACAAAGAGATTCAACTCTTAGGGGCATTTGATTATTTTCAAGGGAAATAAATATTGAATATATATATATTTGTATAAGTATATTTCTGTATTTTTAAAGAAAGAAAAAAAATAAAAATATATATTAAGTGATTTGCGTAAACCTTTCATTGAATATATATAAATTAGATAATACAAAATTATATTTCTACGAATTTTTGTGTAAATATTTTGATTTTAATATTAAGAATTTAATTTGTTAAAAAATATGTCACAACTTGGTAAAACAATCATCTTTTATATCTTATATTCCTTTGGAAGATTATTCCATGCTGAACGAAAAGCGATGAGCACCACGATGAGCGTCATTAATTTAATTTATAAAAATTTAAATTCTAAATTACTCAACGTATAACTAAATTTAGTTAAACATTTAAAGATAAATTATTTATAATAAATGATAAATTGTACCAGTGACCACCTAATTATTGCCCCTTTTCATTTTGACAAGTATTTTTGAAATTTTGTCAATTAGGTAACTCAACTATTTAAATGCATTCAATTAAGTCACTTGCCGTTAATATTTAACGGAGAAGTTGATGTGACAGTTAAAATATTTGGTATAATTACATATTTGGTTATTGTTATTTATATATTCTATCAATTTGTTCCTAATTTTAATAAATTAAAATAAATTTAACCTCAAATCTTTAATTTTAAAAGGTTTTAAAAGTTACGACATATTTTATATTTATATCAAAACAAATTTTTTTATTAGAAATTCCATTCATGGTTCTCAGAAGCATCTCCGTCAATGGTATCATAACCTCTTTTGGTTTTAAGGAAAATATAGTTGATTAGCCCATGCATATAAAGTTCACTGGACAAAATTTTTATCCTATTATTATTTGTAGATGACATTCTACTATAAAAAGGGATATAGTCTAACATGTAAAACTAAGAAATTTTTATCCAGTAAATTTCTAATAGAAAAAGGTGACATATATTTCATTCACGTTTGACACAGTCTTCCTTTAAAATTTTAAAAATTCATCTCCTACCATAAAATTTTATGTCTATCTTTAATAAAAGTTTATACTCATAAGATTCTCGGTGGACTTAGCATGGAAAACTTTACACTAAGAGATTGACCTATATCAAAAGGGAGATAAATTTAATTTGCTTTAAATTTAATATTATAAATTATTACTTTAGTTATTTAATTTTTTTAGAAAAATATTTTGTTATAAATTTTGTTTTGTTATAAATATAGAATATGTCATAACTTTTAAAATTAAGATAAATTAAAATAAAAAGTTGAATTTTGGATAATTATATATGGCACCATTTGATTTGAGGGTTGAGTTTATTTTAATTTATTAAAATTAGGACTAAATTGATAAAATATATAAGTAACAGTGACCAAATGTGTAATTATATAAAATATTTTAACTCTCACTTCAGCTTATCTATTAAATATTAACGACAAGTGGTTTAATTGAATACATTTAAATAGTTTGTGACCCGATTAACAAAATTTCAAAAATATTGGTCAAAATGAAAAGGGTCAATAATTAGGTAGTCACTAGTATAGTTTACCCTTTGTTTTAAATAATTTATCTTTAAATTTTTAACTAATTTATGTTGAGTATTATAGAATTTAAATTTTTATCAATTAAATTGATAATGCTCGTCGCTGCTCGTCGAACGCATAAGAATCATTCATATTCATTTAAACAAATACTATAATTTTACATTTTTATCAAACAATAAAATACAATATTCTTAATAATATGTTAAGTAGCGTAACATTTCATTAAATTTTAAATTACTTAGAAATAAATTGAGAAATCGAAATAAAAGTAATAAAAGATAATTAAAATTTTAAATTTGGGTGGTAGAAAGGATTGAAGATTTTGATTGGTTCTTCAAGATTTACGTATAAATTCTAAAATTGTTTATAAATGAAGACAACATTGGTGCAATATTAAAAATGAGTAAACTACGCATTAAAGTATTTAAATTGTTAGTTTTGTTTTATTTTAATATTTAATTTTATAATTTTTAATTTTTAATTTTTAAAAAATAATACTTAAAATTTAAATTGTCTTATAGTAGTACCTAACGTTAAAAACTTAACATCTTTAATATATATAATTTTAATACTCGAATCTAAGACCTCAAAAAATAATAATATTTTTTTACTGCTAAGGTCGCTCGATTCGTGTGAGAATAATAATTTCCAATTGAGGAATGAGGACGACTTTCAAAGTTGCTAGAAGCGGATGCCATTTAAATAATAATAATTTTTAATCACAATACATGATAATTCTATTATTTTTCTGTCAACATACGATGATTTTTTTTAATATTTAAATAATCTTATATTTTTAAATGATCTTTAATATATTTTATTTTTGAAATTAAAGATAATTTTCTAAATTATTTTTTATTAAAAAATAATATATATTTTAAATATTATTAATCATTTGACAGTAAATATTTAATTATCATATTACAATTGTTAGCACTTAAACACATAAACTCTAAAAATAATAATAATTTTTTAACTACTTAGGTAAAATGAATAATTACAAAATAGTTATAACGACATATGTTTGAATTTTGGATCATAATAGTATAAAGTTAAGTGGTTTTCGCAGACTTTTTTTTTTTTTTTTTTTTGCGTGTGTGTTGGGCCTTGGGGGTATTTATAATTATAAAGACTTTTTTCTGTTTAGAATTTCCAAATTAAAGACAATAAGTTCTAAAAGAAAATCCAACAAAAGCAGCGATAGTGAAGAAGACGATACCTTTTATTACCGCTACTCCTCCATCGCTGCCCCACCTTCCTCCTCTTCCTCCTCCTCGAGACCCTCCGATTCGAATCAAATCACCACCAAATCCACCGGAAGTGGTGGCGGCGGATCCGGTGGCCTAGCCCCATCGAAATCGACCCTGTACGTCTCCAATCTCGAATACTCCCTCACAAACTCCGACGTCCACACTCTCTTCTCCACCTTCGGAAAAATCGCCCGCGTTACAGTCTTCAAAGATCGGGCCACACGAACTTCAAAGGGAGTCGCCTTCGTCCAGTTTGTTTCCCGCGAGGATGCGCTATCCGCGGCGAGTGTCATGCACGGGAAAGTACTCAATGGCAGAACCCTCAGCGCTTCCATTGCCGTCGATAACGGACGAGCCCCAGAGTTTATTAAAAAAAGGGTTTATAAGGATAAGTCTAGATGTTATGAATGTGGGGTTAGTGGGCATTTGTCGTACGAGTGTCCGAAGAATCAGTTAGGGCCTAGGGAGAGACCGGTGCCAAAGAAGGGGCGGAGAGGTGGCGGCGTCGGCGGGGAGAAGAGGGAGGATGGCGGGGATTGGGGAGATGAAGAATCAGAGGGTGGAGAGGGGTTTGAAGAGGATAATTGGGCGTCAGTGGTGGATGGGGCGGCAGAGGAAAGGTTGAGAAAAGTGGAAATGGCGGAGGAAAAGAAGAAGAAGATGACAAGAAAAGCTAGTTATTTTAGTGATGAGAGTGATGAGGAAGATTGATTTAATGGATAAATTGAGTTATTTTCACACTCAAACTTAACCTGGAATCGTTTGAAATTTGAGGTACATTAAATTTTTGTTATGATTTTAAGCTCCAAACCATAGATTGTAATAGATCTTGCACTTATGTATTTATTGTATCTTTAGTGGTATATTTGATTATTTTGTGATGAGGGATTAGGAAGGATGATTTAACGAGGCAAATGAAGTTGCTTTGTTGGGGTATCATATATACTTTTAGTTTTCGATGATCTTATTAGTTACCATAATGGTGACGAATTGAGCATTGTTTAAAAGTACAATTGTAATTAGCGTTATTGTTTAATTATGATTTGAGCTCGAACTTGACTGATTTAATGATGGTTAATTCTGCAGTGTTTAAAAGTATGGCAGTGATTAGTTATATTGTATAAAAATTATAACCATGATTCAGGCTTGAAATTAATTGTGTTAACTGTTAATGGTGGTGAATTGTTCATTGTTTAAAGGTGTGATATTGATTAGTACAATCTATGAATTGAGATTAAACTTGATTGTTATAATGATGATGAACTGTTTATAAGTTCGATTGTGATTACTTATATTGTTTAGAAGTATGATCGGGGCTCGAATTTGAAAGTGATAATGGTGGCCAATTATGCATTGTTTAAAAGTATGAATTTTATTAGTTTGTTTAAAGTACATTTTTGGGATTGAATTTTGATCGTGATAATTGTACGGATTTTGCATTGTTTAAAAGTATGATTGTGATTAGTTATATTGTTTAAAAGTGTGATTTGGAATTGAATTCTATGTGATTGTGATAATGATAGCAAACTGTGCATTGTTTAAAAGTATGGTTGTGATTAGTTACATTGTTCATAAGTACAACCAGAGCTCGAATTTGATCATGATAATGGGGGTGACTTGTGCATTGTTGTATCCAAAGTTTGATAGTTGATGCATAGATGACAAATTGGTTATGAACCACGAGAAAATGGTTGATCTTGTGGCTTCCTCGATCTTTTCTTATTCTGTTTTGGAAATAGAAATGGTTTGTGTTCATGTATGGTTAGTAATTAAAGGTTTGGCTTATGTCAAGCTTTGTTTATAAAGATGCCAGCTTTGTTTATAAAGATGTCAACTTTGGAAACCATTCTCTCGTGTACCCTTACATTGGTTTTACATTTCCTTCCTTGTTTCTTGATTTGAGGTTGAGTTGAATGTCAAAGTTTGTATGTGCTTGATTTGAGGACCATTGAATTAGTGTTGAGTGATAGTTGAGATTAAAAGTGAATCAGTGTTAAGTGATAGTTGAGATTAAAAGTTGAAAATGTGTAGATCTTTACAAGAAAAATGTAAAAGTGGATAATTTCATTCATCACTCATTCAAAAGTTATAAATTACATTGCACCATGTTTCTTATATGTGAAGCAGCTATCTTAACTAATATTACTCAAACTTTCATTTTTGTTGAAGCTATTCATGTCCGCCATGTATTTTGATATGACTATGCCGGAGTGGTGATATCATACTCTCAGGTGATCTTCTCTTCACAAAGGTTCGATGGTGCAGTGAGCGTGGAGTAGTGTTGTATTTTTTATTCTTCTTGGAACCTTGAGGTCAAGGTTCTGTTGTTAACAAGGGTAATGTGATAAACCAAGAACGTCATTAGTCCAAAGGGACCATGTAAGGAATTATCATTAGATGTTAAAAGGATCATGTGATAGAAGAATAGCTGTGATGTAAGGGGGCGGAGAATTTAGTCGTGAGTAGTATATAAATAAAGTAGTGACCGAAAAGAGAGAGAATATTTGCTAAATCTGTTGGTCGGGCCACTAAGCCTTTTTAGAGGTCAAATGTATCCTTATTATTTTGAATAATTTATTAAATTTAGTTAATGGGAAAAGTGAAAAATAAGAAAATTTGCATATTGGTTTTGTTAAAAAAAACGAGTGTTAAAATTTTGAACTCCCGTTTTTAAATATCTGAATCGGACACTATTGTTAGTTGTAGTTACTTTTTCTAAGTTGAGTATTCCTTACTAAAATCTTTATTCTTAATCTTACCTTTTTTTTCTCATTATTCTATAAATTAATCTTTATTGTGAATGTACACCTATTGTTGAGAATTGTTAATATAGATTTGCGTTCAAACTAACTCGTGGAATATTTTTTTAGAGAAAATAATCTCAGTGACCAAAAATGCCTTATAATATATGATTTTAACCAACTTTTTTGGATTTGCCAAAATGACCAACTAAATCGCAATGCGATCGATAATTCGCAACGCGATCTCCGGTATCGTAAATCAGTTTTCATATTTGCAACGCGAACTTCGACTATCGCATTGCGATTTACATATTCGCATTGCGATAATCAAAGTTCGCGTTGCGATAGTCGAAGTTCGCGTTGCGATTTTCTAAATTCGCGTTGCGATTTATTCCAAATTCGTTGCGATAGTCCAAAATCGCAACGACTGGTGGTATTGCATTTGTTTCTTAAGAATTTTCTCTAAAAAGATAATATTCGCGCGGACGTGTCGAAGACACGTATTACCACGACCACGACCCGACCCGAGACGGACGGCGGCGGCGCGCGAGAGTCCCCCTTGTTCTCTATCACTCAACAAGGAAGTGGGAAAGCCAAGCCTTAAATATCATTCCCAATAGTGTTTCCAATACTATGTGGGATTGATCATTACCAACACTTGTTTCCAATACTATTTGATTATTCAGGAAACAATTAACAATCATGCACCTTAAAACAACTGAATCAGCAACTAATTGCATTAGTATTATACGATTAAATATGTCATAATTAAAAGTCAATCTACAATCAATCGCGATTATTGCAATTTTAAGCAAAACATTCAAAAAAATTGCATCACTCGCGAGAATAAAAAAATTTGTTATCGTGCAATTACAATCAATTGAAAATAAATTAGAATTGCATGAAAACTAAACGAACCACAAATACTTTTCATACAAATACTAAAGTCATTAACTATAATTCACAAATAATATCACTATTTAAGGCTCAATCTCACATAGTATTGGGAACAAGTGTTGGTAATGCTCAATCCCACATAGTATTGGAAACACTATTGGGAATGGTATTTAAGGCTTGGCTTTCCCACTTCCTTGTTGAGTGATAGAGAACAAGGGGGACTCTCGCGCGCCGTCGCCGTCGCCGTCTCGTCTAGTCTCGGGTCGGGTCGTGGTCGTGGTAATACGTGTCTTCGACACGTCCGCGCGAATACTATATTTTTAGAGAAAATTCTTAAGAAACAAATGCAATACCACCAGTCGTTGCGATTTTGGACTATCGCAACGCGAACTTCGACTATCGCAACGCGAATTTGGAATAAATCGCAACGAATTTGGAATAAATCGTAACGCGAACTTCGACTATCGCAACGAACTTGGAATAAATCGCAACGCGAATTTGGAAAATCGCGTTGCGAATCTGGAAACTGATTTGCGATACCGGAGATCACGTTGCGAATTATCGATCGCATTGCGATTTAGTTGGTCATTTTGGCAAATCCAAAAAAAGTTGGTTAAAATCATATATCATAAGGCATTTTTTGCCACTGAGGTTGTTTTCTCTTTTTTTTTTGAAGATTGAGTAGTTAATAACACAATCACTCTAGGCAAACATGTTCGCATTGCTTATTCGAACTCCCAGCACCCATTATAAAAGTTTTAATATAATAATGAAAGTATATTTTAATTTTTATAAAAAAATCTGTTAACTGTCCCATCATTCACCTCAACTCCTTTTATAACTTTTATGCTACAATAACAAGATCAAGAGTTTAGGGGAGCCCTTTTTTTTAGAATATTACACAAAACTACTTAAGTGGGTAACTATTTTTTTATCAAATCATTCAGATGCGTTCATAAATTGAAGACAATATAAAATATTGAATATAAAATAAGTATACAAATTATGGGGAGCCCCCAACAATAGTCTTCAAAAGTACATAAATTTTAAAAACATAGTTCACGACTCGATAATACAATAAGGTCTATGATAGTACATGCCCACCATAATGCTCGAGACGAACTCTGATGATATTCAAGTATGGAAATCTTGAAGTCTGGCGACGAGCTCCTCAAACAGGCACCGAAGGACATGCGCACAGAAATATATTCCATATGACGAGCTCACAAGCTCAATTTCACACAAATAACCCAACTATACTACATGCATCCAACAGATGAGTATGCTACATTCATAGTTATGAACTCATGAATACATTTATCACACAACAAAAGTAAGCATCATGGTGTAGCTCGGGGTCACTATAGCATTATGAAACTCACATCCTTGTTTGCTTATTAAGGTACCTTGGGTAAGATCCGAGTCACATAACATCAACATCTTACAATACCCTAGGCTAGGTCCGAGTCATGTAGCGTTAGTACCTTGCCAAGCTAGTCTACTCCCCTCGAGTACTTATGATATGTCTGGGTCACCTAGCATCAGCTCAATGTCCAACTATTGGCATAAGTGCCATAACACTAGGCTAGATACAACCGTATAATCCTTACTCTACTAACTATATTATTGAGCCGTCATACAAAGTTACTCGGGTGTCCTCATCGTTTCTCGAGCATCATATAAAGGTATAAGTCTTATATAATCTTACCTTATTAAGATCTTATGTTATCACACAAATTATTAAGATTCTCACTTTTAAGCTTATTGAGTAGTTTTCCCCTTTTACATGACCCCTTTTTTGGCTACCTAACACAAATTAGGCTTATACCCAATTATTCACGATGATATCTATAGTCACTCATTTTCGTCTAGATTTTATTTAGTATATATATAATAATATAATATAGTTTTTGAAAATATTTTTTGAAAAATATATAATATATAATTTTTAGAAAATAGTTTTTTGAAAGCATATAATATATAGTTTTTTTTTTAAAAAACGGTTTTTGAATATATATATATATATATATGGTTTTGAAAGCACGCTTTTGAAAATGTATAATATATAGTTTTGAAAACATATTTTTGAAAACGTATATAATATATAGTTTGTTGGGATTTTCGGAAGCTCGAATCGACAACCAGAATTGCTTGCAAAGAGGGTCGGGATCGGTTTTTGTGTTTAAGGAGTAAGGAGATTAAAAGATAGAGAATTGCACGGCGAT